ATGGACACACAGACTGTCACGTGCAACGCTGGCAGGCTGCTACTACCCACCCAGCTCTGGCCGGGGCACCAGAGTGACCTTACGTCATCCCTCCCCTGCTGGCACAGACTTTAGATCCTCAACTTGGTTCACCTCTGTGCGGCCTGGGTCATGGTGAGTGGGACAGAATAGTGGCTGGAGCTGCCCAGTGCCCACCCAGGGGCACCTATGGGAGAGGAGCGGCTTTGATTTCAGTGCAGACAGCTCCCTGCAGGGAGCATGGGCTTCCTTTCAGTGCTGGGTGCAACAGCACAGGGAGAATTACAGCGGAGCCAGGGGCCTGCAGGGGCTCCAGGAGGCAGGTGCTCTCGGCAAGAAGGCAAAGGGACAGGAGCTTGCCTGGCCAGTCACCTCCTCCACTGGCTGGAAATAGAGTCCAGGGTAAAATTTGGAAAGAAATGAGTTTCCTTTCAGCAGGACAACCCCCACCCCACCCTGTTGAGCTCTCCTGTCAATACACGTGTAAGGGTTATGGTTCCTGCAGCCCTGGAAGGAATTAGAGCTGGACCCTGCCACCCTCCTCACCTCTCGCAGGAAGACCAGACTACTGGGCCAATGCGAACCAGACAAACCTCCACCCCGAGATGTGCCAGGCATGTCTACACCCTCGAGGACAGACCTGACACACAGCCACTCCCCTTGTCCAGATGGCCGGAGACACCCATGAAAACATGCCTAAGAATGGGCAGATGCCAGTTCTGCACCAGCACCAGCTGCTCCCGTCCTCTTGCCTCCCCCACATGGAGCCAGTTCCGGGTCCTCCCCATTCTCCCCACTCCTCCCCATGGGGCCAGTTCCAGGTCCTCCCCATCCTCCCCACCCCTCCCCACGGAAACAGCTCCCCGTCCTCTCACAGGGAGGCTCCTGGTCCACCTTCCCCTGACCTTGGAGCAGATGTGCCAAGTCTGGTTGTTCCTGCAGAGCCTCCAGTCACACAGGTGTCTGTGAGACAAATGAGCCTACTCTGCAAAGTGCATCCTGGACTCCACCTGTGGAGCAAGCTGGGCCACCAGCAGCTGCCAAAGGAGGACCTGCTCGGTAGAGAGTGACTGGAGAGCCCCCGGCCTGCAGTGCCTACACCACCGCACCCACCCCACCCCACAGCTGCTGAGGCTGGCTTCCGCAGGTGAGTCGTTAGCTGGTAGTCCTGGGTGGAGCTGAGTGTGTGAACCTCCAGGTGTATCTCCACCGGCAGGATGGGCAGGGCCAGGGCCACAAGAGGGTAAATCCTGACCTCACTGGGCTCCCAGCATGGGTGGGGCCAGTCCAGCTTGGGCAGCCCAGCAGGAATTCAGGCATAGAGGGCTTTTTGGGGACACAGAGGGCATTTGGGGGACACAGAGGGAACTAGCAGACACAGGCGGCTGCCACCCAGAGAGCCTGAGTCAGTGCCCAGGTGTGAACTCCTGAGGGCAGCCAAGCTCAGACACAGGGTACCTGAAATAGCAACATCTGCACATGCCAAGGGTACATGCACCCCACCATGTATGTGCATACCCTACCATGCACGGAGTAAGGGCATCCATGCCCAGAGGAACCCGTGCTGTGGCATGCCCCTGACACAACGGTGGAGCTGGTACAATGTGTCATCTTTTCACTGCCCCCTGATGCACTTGCCATTGTGTGTCCACCCAAATCTTCCTCTGCCCAGGAGCCAGGAGAAACATGTAAACAACACGCGAGTCAGGAGTGCATGGACAAGAGCACACAGAGCACAGCCGGGGAGGCTCCTTCACCAGCTACAATGCACGGCTGCCACCAATGCGCTGTGGGCACGTGGGAGACAAGCCAGTGGGATGCTGGAGAAGCCCTGAGGAGAACCAGTTCACATGAGACCATAATAAGCCACAGAGCTGAAGTTCAATTCACTGGTCAAAGACCGGAATACTGAATAGTCAGTGCTGGCTCCCTGGAAGAAAATCACACTGGACTTCCCTCTGTCACATCTTACTCCACATTTGCAAAGCACTCTAGACATGCTCATGAGCTGGATTCCAGTGCACAAAACATGCCTGCCCAAAAGCCAAAGACAGCCACCATCTTCCTAACACGCACAGGTACCCAGAAATCACAGAGAGAGACATCTTCAACTCTAAATGATTTAATCTTGATGGCAAATGACAAATTATTAAAATTAACAAACAACAGAATTGAGAATAGATGTTTTCAAGGCAGAAAAGAACCATCAATTTCTATAACAAACAACCACTGCAAATGGGTGAGAGGGAGACACTCTGAGAGAAACATGGGCAAAGAACCTGAGCAGGCAAGTCACAGACAGTGAAATGCAAACCTCTGGGGATCTTCAAGCAAAGACCCTAAGCTCACCAGGGCCCAGGGAGACAGACGCCAGGGAACAAAGGTGCCCTCCCAGGTGGGAAGGCCACTCACGCCCACTGCTGAGGGAGCATGCTGGGGTCAGGGCCCATGACGGAAAGACCAGCTGTTCGATCTTTTCAAAACTGATCTGGCAGGATCTATAAAACAGAGGCACCCACCCTGGCCCAGCACTGAACAGTGGCCCCATGCATGGGGCAGGTTTTAAGGTGGCACCGTTTATACTGGCTGGGCTCTTTCCCTATGGCAGCTCTAATAAATGACCACAAACTGGGTAGCTTAGAACAGAAATCTACCCTCTCCCAGCTCTGGAGGCCAGAAGTCTGCAGTCAGTTTTCCTGGGCTGAAATCAGGGCGTCAGCAGGGCCCACTCCCTCCAAACGCCTGGAGGAGACCCCCCCGCCTCTTCCAGCTTCCCGTGGCTGCTGGCACTCCTTGGTTTTTGGCCACTGTATTAGTCAGGATCCCTAGAGAAACAGAACCGAGAGGAAGCGGATACTGAAAGATTTATTATAATGAACCAGGTCACATGACCATGGAATCTGACCCGCCTTGAGGTCCGCAGTCAGCAAACTGAAGTCCCAGGGCAGCTGGTGGTGTGAATTCCAGCTCGAGTCCAAACCCAAAGGCAGGAGAGGACCATTGTACCAGTTCAAAGGCAGCAGGAAGACAGAGGGAACAAGTCTCCCTTCCTTTGCCTTTCTGCTCTATTCAGGCCCCAAGTGATAGGATGAAGCCTACCCCACTGGGGAGAGTATTTGCTCACTCAGTCCACAGACTCCAATGCTAATCTCACCCGGAAACACCCCCACAGACACACCCAGAATCATGTTTGACCAGGTATTTGGGCACCTGTGCCCCAGTCAAGCTGACACATAAAACCAGCCATCACACCCACATCCCTCTAATCTCTACTTCTGTCCACCCATCAGCTTCTCCTCGCTTTTCCAATCTCCTCCTGCCTCCCTCCCAGGAGGGCCCTTGTGATGGCATTTAGGGCCCATCACATGACTCAGGATCACCTCCCTATCCCAAGATTCTTAACTGAGTCATTTCTGCAAAGACCCTATTTCTAGATAAGCTGACACTCAGAGGCGTCAGGGACTGGAACCTGCCTTCTTTGGGGCTATTCTTCAGCTTCCTACCAGGGACCAAAAAAACAACCCTGGAGCCCAGTGAACGGCTCCAAGGGGAGCAGGCCCCAGTTCATAACGAAGCCCTGTCTGGTTGGTGATCGACTCCCCTCTCCGATGTGGCCAAACAGGACGCACGATCTTGTCTCTGTAATGACCACAACCAGGCCTCTCGGGCTTGAATGAGGACAGTGGGTAAACTTTGGGCCCACAGCACTTTGCTGCAAAAATGAGTGCCCCTCCTCTGACTCCAAGGCATGCGGCATCCCGGTCCTGGTCACCATGCCTTTCCAGTGAGGCAAAATGAGGTGATAAAGGAGTGAGGAGTCCTTCTGAGATTTGTACTGGATGAGGGAGGTGCCACCCTCCTAAACCCACACCAGGCTGAGCTGAGTCCTATAGACCAGCTACGTCCCCACAGGGGTGGGCTCTGCCTCACCCACGCTCCAACCCCTGCCTCTAGCTGCCTTAGCGCCCAGCTGTTCAGAGCACCCCGCGGGGCTTAGCTGGGGTGCACCCCAAGATTCATGCCCCTGAATGCTGCTCCATCCTCTCCCTCCCGTGCCACCACCTGTCCAAGTTTCCCACCCACCAAAGGCCGCCTCACCCTGAGCAGCCTGGCAACCACAGGGAACCGACCCCCCCCACCCCTGCCGGCCTTCGCCCTCATTCCTCCAATCTTGATGGAGACTCCCCGAGGGCTGGGCCCACTCTGTGTCTCGCACAGCCAACCTCACTCGCCCAGAGGATACATCCGTGTTCCTAGGTGAGGCGGCCCCCAACCTCTGCCCTGCAGGAGACTTGGTGCTCCAGCAGGGACCCACCCTGGGGTTGGTCCTCAAATGTCTCCCCAACTCCAGTCCCCCCCCCTCGGCCCCCGCTTCATGTATCCCCAGGCTCTGCTGCCCAAGGGTAGATGCCTCCTAGGTAGCCTGGGGGAACTGGTCTGTATGTGGATCCTCCATAATCCCAGGTGCTCAGCCAAAACCTAGGCGCAGCTCAGCCCCCACACCAACCAAGATCCAACGCAGCGGCAAGTCTCCTGGGCTCCACCTCCCAATAAACGCGCAATCGGGCTATCCTTCCACCCCCACTACTGGCCCGCACCATCTCCCTCTCCAGGACCACCTCACAGTCTCTTAACAGGGCTTCCTGCACCCCTGCCATGGTCCATTCTCCCTAGAAGCCTGCAGTCCTGTGCAAACCCTGGGCTCCCAGGACTTGAATTCCAAGTGCCAAAAGGCTTGCTCATACACTGCTTCTTCCCCCACCACTCCCTGGCCAGGGCACTCAAAACTCAAGGCACGTTCCTGCCCTAGGGCCTTTGCATCTGCCATTCCCTCTATCTGGAATGCTCCTCTCCAAACCCAGGCCTAGCTCCTGTTTTTTCTCAATCAACTGCCCCTTCTTAGCAGGGCCTCCTACTGCCCCTTTTCCATTTAAGTTCTTTCCTTTGCACGCATCACATCTCACTCCTCATATCTGACTTACTGATCTCGTTGACAGTCCGTCTTCCTGGGTACTGGAATGCTTCTTCCACGTGGAGGCCCCAGTGCCCAGAGCATGCCAGGTGGAGGGAGGGAGTTCAGTATACTGGAAAGGCGGGCCTGAAGGGATCTGTTCCTGCCAGTGTGGAGAGAGCCGGAGCTAGGGATCTGCCCAGGCTCCTTGTGTGTAGTCAGACAGCAGCGGGCAGATCTGGAACCTGAGGCCTGTGCCGGGGCTGAAAACAAGCCGCCTGCACCAGAAAGTCCTTTAATGAAAGGCTCGTTTCACTGGCTTCACCGTGTACATGACAGTGTTGCCACATGCTCACTCTCTTCAGAGAAAAGCAGCTCTTTGTGGGCTATAAATAGCCCGGCCAGATGTGGGAAGGCCTGTGGGTCTCTTCCCAGGACTCCCCATGTGCCCCGCAGCTGCACCAACAGCAGGACCCGAGGAAGCAACTGCATGTTGGGCAGCAGAGGGTTAATGTGTGGTGCCTCCTCCCTGGGGACAAGGCAGAGCTTCATCACCCTCTGTATGGATGTGCAGGCTCTGCTGCCACTAGCATGTGCAAGACACACTGATGTGGAAAGTCAAGCTGCAGACTGCACGTTTCTATGCTCAGGAAACAGGGAGACGGGGGCCTGGAGGTCGGGGAACCGTACAGGGAGGGGCACACTCACCAAAGCAGAGTGCTGGGCGCCCTGTGCAGGAGAAACCAGCCTGAGCAGGGCACCCCTATCTCTGACGAGGCCCAGCAGTCTGATAGCAATTGTGGAAGTGCAAAAACCAACAGCACTTACCATGGGCTTGAAGGTACTCTCAGAACCTGCTATGTCTGTTACTAATTAGTGCCTCCCAACCCGAGGGCTGGGCCTGGAGGGAAGGGGGCTCAAATGCAGAGAGCACCAAAGAACCGCCTGGATCTGCTTCCCACAGAAGCACCGGCTGAGCCACACTTGTGAGCCCCATGCATGATTTCAGATGCTCCTAGAAGTCACGGTCAGAGAGTAAAAACAAAGGCGAAGTCTTACTAACCTATTTTATTTAACCCAATACAAATCCAAAGCACAGCCACTCCTGACAGAGTCACAAATAGGCTATCCCACAGTCCCAAGGCTGGGTCATGGCCTCCTGCCTACTGTGTGTTCCCACTCCCAGTGCCACATGTGGACCACTCCACCCACGGGTGGTGACAGCCACAGCACTGGACAGCTGCATGCCACATGTGGCCTCACCACATGCAGCAATGCCATGGTGGCTCTGACATAGGTGCCAGTGCACATCCAAGTGTGGCTGAAGGTGTGGAAGCTTCCACTCACTACAAATGGACCCAGCAAGGTCAGAGTTGAGTGGCTGTTATGGACAGAGGTCCTGGACAGCAGCCCTCTGCCCGCCTGGGTCCAGGCTCCTTGGAGCCTCATCTTCAGCAGGCAGACAGAGCACCAGTGCCTGTGGGTGTCCGTCACAAGGGACCAACCTGGGCTCTCTGCTTTTGGACACATGGCCGGGTACAGGCCTCCTCACCAGGTACCTGTTGCTCCTGTAACATAATCTGGACCGAAGGCCTTGAGAGGATGCCTGGCTCACATGTCACAGAGATCAGGTGTTAGGGACAGAGTTAGTGTATGCAGTCTTTTACATCAATGAATCAGGAACGTTCAGTGCCCCATGCGGGTCTTCACAGACTAACAGCTCAGGCCACTCACCAAGGTCAGAGCAGTGGCGAGAGACCCTGCCCCCCTCGGGGGTGGTTCTGGCACTGTCCAGGTGACAGTCTCACAGGGCTGCAGTGGGCCTCTGACACGCACAGAACTCCCTTCCCAGTGTTGTTTAATTACATCACAGTTGTCCTGTTCTCAGCTCTGCATGTCACTGAAGGCCACTTGCTGAAAATAGAGCATGCTGCCTACGGCTGGGCACCTGCCTCAAGTTCGTGGAGCCAGTCGCAGGGGGCAGCACACAGGTGGCACGCTGGTGACAAAGCCTCAGGGGTTAAAGCAAGCACCTCAGCAACCTCGGCACTCAGTGATGCCCTCTCGTGTTCTCATCTTAAGTGCATCCGGGCTTTGAGAGTTTGGGTCTGAGAGAAAAAGTCGCAGGTGACACATACATAACATTTTATCCTGTGGCTCTCTGGCTCTCCAGATGGACATTCACATAAGTAAGCCCTATTCTGGGAGACTGCAGAGACCCTCATGTTCCATGCGTCGGGAAAGCTTGCCAGCAGGCGATGGCCCTGCAGCGGGCACCCGGCACCCCCAACCACACAGTGAGTGACCTGAAGCCAGGCCTCCCCAACCACCTGGTCTCTGCTCTCCCAGGAGGACACACAATCCCAGTGGTCGGCTGCTCGGCTACTCGTAGCCACCATCACGGGCCCAGTGATGACAGAAGCACAGAACTGCTCAGTCCCCACACGAAGAACCCAGTGACACGACTCTTCCGTAAGATGACTTCACACTGGAAAAGGTGAGCCTTAAATGAGCTGGTTTCCCACTTCAATGCAAGTTCTAGAATATATTTTAATTTTCCTAAGCATTTCATTTCAAATTGCTTGTTGTAAGCACATATTTATACTGTGAAAGGTAAAGCCATGGGGAGCTTCCTAGCCCTGGAAGGTCAGGGAAGCCCCAGGGCCAGGGGTCATGGACCGGACCAAACACTAATCGCCTTCTCCCTCAAAACAATTCAGTCAGCACAATGGGCTTCCTGCGGGAGGAGGGAGCAGCTTAAATATCCTACACACTGAAAACAAAGTCCCTACTGAAAATTCCTCCTAACACAGACACATTTCCAGGACAAGCTGCAGGTGGCTGTGGGTCTGTGTCCCCTCCCTGCTCTGGGTGTGACTGACAGGCGCACCCCTGCCGACATCCTCACAGCTGACATTCCCACCACCTGCTCACCGATGCACCCTGAGCTACTAGCAATGTACTTGGCCACTTCCCTGGCTCTCCTGGAAGCTAATGCTTAGGCTTCTGAACCCCAACCCAAACAAAGGGACCACTCCCTCTGCAGCCCTCTTCTCTCCCGGCTCAATCAGTGCAAGCAAACTCCATGGAAGCTTAAGAAGGGCCCTATGTGGCCCCTAAGCTGGGTGGTCCCTCCAGGCCACAGTGTGCACTGGGGACGCCCGGTCAGAACTGCTAAATCCAGCTTAAGTCTGACTGCCACACACGGCAGCTGCAGGGTGTGAGACGAAGGATGCAGGGCTCAACCTGCCCTGCGGGTTGCTGACACCACTCAGAGCAGCACTAGAGGCAGAGATGGACGGACAGCAAGGGGGCTTGGACCCTGTGCTCATGCTAACATGGGTGTGACCCAGGGAGCTGCACTGACCCCTGGGCACCACTCATGGGCCTGCACTCCCAGCACTGCCTTGTGGGGGAGGGGAGGGTCAAAGAGAGCAACAAGAACTGAAGAAACCACAAAGGTACCAGAACTAGGGTTTTTAATAACCCTAAAACCAGGTGGCCTCCTACACACCACACAGCTCAGGGTGCAGAGAGAAGCGTGAACACGAGGCTGAGGAAACCCTTTGCAAGGGTGCCTTCTTTCCCTCCACGGACACCCAGTCTCCACAGACTCAGGGCCCCAGGGTGCGGCTCCTGCACAGCCCTACAGATGCCCCCCATCTGTCCCCAGAACAGCTCCTGCATGCAGCAGGCCCTTCCATCCATCACAGCCCAGCTCAAATGCCACCTCTCCTAGAAGGGGGACCCCTACCAGTAAGGCCCCCATGGGAGAGGCCTGGCCAGGGCAGCCCAACTGAGGTTTCAGGACCAAGGTAGTTGGAGTAAGAGGACCATCCAGGGAAGCAATGAGTCAGCCTCGGGGACAGACCCTCGGGGCTCAAGCCTCCACTCCCTGCAGAATTCTGTTGGACAGCTCTGACTGTACCTGGCCCTGAGGTTGACAGGTAGGACATCCTGGTCCCTGGGTTCCAGAAAAGTCTCACTGCACATGCTTAGACTCATAGAGCCCTTCCCATGTTCACCTAGGGCAAGAGCAGACCCAGACCCCACATCCCTCCCTGTCCGTCCTCAGTGAAAGCTGAACAGCACATCCCAGAGCCAACTGGAATGAAAATACTGGTTACCCAAACTCTGGTCCAGCTTTATTCCCTCCAGGACCCTAGGCCCCACCACCGGGCTGAGTGCAAGATGCCCCAAGAACAGACCAGCCTCAGGGGCACCTCCTCTGATTGAATGCCCCTCACTGCACCCTCTGTCCCACTGTCCCCCTAGGCCCTGTCTATACCTACCTATGAAGGAAAACCCAGTCTGGACCTCCACATACTGGCTGATCTCATGGTCACATGTCCCCTGCATGGGTCCCTCCCCACAGTGATCCTCTCCAATGCAGCCTCTTCTTATAAGTCCATGTTTGTTTTTCATTTGACAACTGATTACACACAACCTGAAGCCCCCAACACCAAATATTGAAGGCCCAATGGACAGGTGAGACTTTTGATTTCCACCTTCCTGAAGACACAAGGTGGCACGAGGTCTCACCAGTTTGTGGTCATGGTACTAACAGGGCCTGGTTCAAGGGTAGCTCAGAGGCAGGTCTGACACCTGTTGTCACTGCTGTTCCTGGAGCCCGTGGGTAGGAGAAGCAGGGAGGCGACATCAGAGGAAAATCATGCACGTGTCCAAAGTGAAGGCCTGTGAGACACTCCCTCTGGGAGGTGAGGGGCTCTGCAGGACCATCTAAAGCAGGTCCCACAGCTACCAGTAGGTGCTCGGGACCCCTGCTCCCCACGCCTGCAGGGGCCACGCCCACCGCCAGGCACCACCCCAAGGCCTGCTCGAGGGGCTGCTGCTGAACTGGGCACACCCTTCTGAAGGCCCAAGAGCCTCCTTTCTAAAAGTGCTGCCACGGACTGTGGGATGAAATGTTCTCACTGCTAATCAGAAAACAGAATAGAGCAAGAGGCCCTCCTCCCCCACAGAACTGATGAAGAAGAGAGGAAAGGTGCATGGTGGCGAGGTGTGAGCCCCGACGTCTAGAAGCAACAGGGCAGGGTCACTGGGACCTTATGGAGACCGGTGCTGCTGTGGGTGGTGTGGGAACAGGGACAGGTAAACACACAGTTCTCACCCTGTAGGCTCTCGACAGCACAAATGCCCAGAAACAGGGCTAATAAATGAGGGCACCTAAAGGACCAGACTG